GGGGGTCCACTTGTTATTATTATTGGAAGAAAAATAAGATTGCGAAGATCAGAACCAACTGGTGGCTGGGTTGTTTCGGAAAATGTTTTCTCCTCTACGCTGCGGGGGGTCCACTTGTTATTATTATTGGAAGAAGAATAAGATTGGCGAAGTGAAGGAGGAGGAGGAAGGTGGAGAGAGAAGAGGGATTTGTCATTGGTCTTGTTGGTGTACATCTTCTTCTTCTTCTTCTTCTTCTTCTTCTTCTTCTTCTTCTTCTTCTTCTCTCTCTCTCTCTTCTTTGGTCTCCATCTCTATGCAAGTGCTTTCATTTCTTTCACAATTGGGTGGCATTGTCTTTCATTGTGAATTTGCACTTTGTGAATGACCAGGATCGTAACACTAGGCTACCAGAGTGGCCCCGGACCCCTTGCCAGGCCAGGCCAAAAAAAAAAAATAATAATAATAATAATAATAAGTTAATAACAATATTTTTATTTTAAATTTGGTAAAGAATTTCGATGTGACCCTGAGGCAAAAGTTGTTCAATTTATTTTTCTGCATAACAGTGTTTTGTCAGGGTTTTTTTTTTTTTTGGTAGGACCTCCCCTGGTCCTTGCATGGCCGGGCCGCCCGGGAAAATAGGGTGACCCGGGCGGCCCGAGTGGTAGCCTAGGGGTTTTTTTTTTTTTTTTGGCAACCAGTTTCGACCCCACCATGGGGCAAAAGTTGTTCAGTTTATTTTTCTGCACAACATAGCTTTCTTTTTCGGATTTTATTTATTTATTTATTTATTTTGGGGGGGGAGGGGGTACATGGACCTTCCCTGGCTGCCCGGCCGGGCAACCAAGGTGACCAAATCATTGACTATCAATTAAAATTTAATAATCATACTAATGCTCAACATGATAATGATAATGACAACAACAGCAACAAGACGAACAAGAAAGCATCAACGTTTCAATAAAAATTAACGAAAAGGGGGAAAAAAAATGTCATTGGCACATTGCTGCATTACCATGAGAAGATGAGAGAGGAGAGGAGCTCACCGTGTTATCAAGCCTAGCGCACGGCACAGCGCAACAGAAATGGCTGTCAGCTGCAAGACAAAGAATTTGTTTAGCATTAAAAATTTAAAATTTAAAACACTTTGTCAGGTCTGTCTTTTCAGACAATTTGCTTGGAAATTGCCGCCATGTTCCAAGGCAAAACCAAGCAAGCACCGACGTTCATTTGGCTGTGAATGAAAATAAAATATATTAATGATATTATTTTGGGAAAAAAAAAAAGAGAGCACCAAGGTCAATCTGACTGACCCGATGCACCAGGGTGAAAAAAAAAGAAGATGCATCCTCGCATCACCGAGGTAACTTTTCAAGACCAGGTACATGCTCAGTGTTCCTAATAAAGAAAAGGGCATTCAACAAAAGATCACACAGGTTTTAACTTTTAAACCTCCCCTGCCCCCGACACCCGAAAACCGACGGCCCTGTGAGTTAGGGCCGGGTTTTACGAAGGGGTGGCGACCGATCGTCACCTGAGGGTCCAGTCCCGACCCGCAATTTGAAAGCAGCAACTTTGGCAACGTTTTGCGCTCAGAAGAATTCGCGGAAAATTCTGAAAATTTGACGATCCGTAGATTAGGTCGTGTGATCTTTCAAGCAAAAATATCAGGAAAAATAAATAAATCATTTTGACCATGAAATAATCGCCGTGCCAATTCGGCGCATTTCCAGTTTTGCCACTCTACCATGTGTGGGCCAACAGAAAAAGTAGGCCCCAACTTCGGTGATTTTTCGCACTCAGAAGATTAGTGAAGAAACTTAAAAAAAGCTGAAAACTGGAGGGCGAGTAAATTTCGTTGTGATCTTTTGGGGGAAAATATTGTTAAAAAAAAAAAAACATTTTGGCTGCGAAATAAATCACGGCAGCATTTCAATGCAATTTCCATGTTTGCCATTCAGCCGGTTCTCCACACTATACTACCGGTAGTCCTCGTGAAACTGCACTACCGGTCCCCCGATGTTTTTGACGTCGGGGGTGAGGGCTGGTTTAAATGGCTTACAGGCCCTACAGAGCCTACACCCTATTCCCTTGTGGCACCTCCGATCATTTTATTCTGCAAGTGTATTTTTGAGAAATTTTGACATTTTCATGAATTTTCATCTAATAAATTTTCTCATTATTTCCATCTAATGAGTCGTTTTTCATCGCACGAATTTTCATCGGATGATATCCAACCTGTTCTGACGAACCAGTTCGTCGCTCTAGCGCTTGCAAGATGAACGCATCCATCGCATTAGTCGTAAGAGTGCCTGTGGAATCCCCACCAAGCTTCGCAGAACCCTGACCATCGATCTGTTCTGCTAATCGGAATGAGCCCTTGAACTGCAGGAATGACAGAGCAAAAAACACCAAACACACGCAATTAAGGAAACTTTCACGGCGATCCCGGTTTTGCTTTCTAATTAAGGAACACTATGAGCTTAATAGGTCATGAAGTGTCTAAGGGATTGTCGAGGTCATGAGCAGCCACACATGGACAGACAGAGGGAGAGAGGGGGCGGGAGAGGGAGGGAGAGAAGGGAGGAGAGAGAAGGGAGGAGAGAGAAGGGAGGAGAGAGAAGGGAGGAGAGAGGGGTCAGGAGAGGGAGGGAG